TGCAGCACTGAGCAAGCATATTGCACTAGGGCAACATGGATATGTTGTTTGCTTTGCAGTTTCACAGTTTTCTTCCATCATGATCCCTGACCTTTTGTTTAGAAAAACATACATTAGACCCAATAATGTGGTTTGCTAACACTTTTTACCATCAGTATTACCTTTACACAGTAGCAATAAAATATTTCTTGTAAATCTCAACTTAAACATTAATGTAATCAAATCAAATATTAAACAAAAGCTTTTTGCCACTGCCAGGGCATTACCTTTTATCTAGCTTGTTAAAACAAGTTACCACCAGAGTCCAGAGCCACAATCATAACATCATAACAGGCACCCTCTGAGCAACAGGTTATCATATATAAATCTGTTTACTTGTTTTTTTTCTGAACAGGTATTAGCAGAAACATTTTTCTTTTGTCAGGGAGCAACTTAAACAATCTATGTTCAGAAGCAAGTGTCCCTGTTAGAGTGAGGTGAAGTGGTCGCCTCATACACATGCTGCCATAGTTAAATTGTCTGGAACTTCTTGTACGCGACACGCAGCACAAATCATTGGAAGAGAGACTGATCCTCACTGTTTGTGAGTTTCCAGAATCTATTACTGTTTACTAAATAGGACATCAACAGGAGGGAATTCACATGGCAGAGCAACTAGATGAAGGCCTATCAGGTAAAGTTATATATAATTTTAACTTAAGTTAATAGGCTACAGCTGTGTAACGCACAGCCGTTGCCATGGTTACTCTCCATAGAGCGCCTGCCATTTACTCGCGGAGCACTGTCTCCTGTCTGATCAACGGAGCGGCAGAGCAACCACGTTGTGATTTTAAGAACGTTCCTAAGACCGCCATCTTACCCAATACTAATCAGCATGCAGTGTGTAGCTATGCCACTTGATCACTCGTCTTACTTTTGTTTATCTACTTCTCCCACACGCTTGCAGGCTGATCAACATCACCACCCTGTCACCTGTGGTTTGACTGTATGTGTATTCAGAGCCAGTGAGCAACAAACTATCTAAATAATAATAATAAAAACTGCATTAACGTGCGATAAAATAATTGTTGGCATTAATTAATTAACGCGTTAAGGCCCCCCTCCCTGAAAGCCTACTTGCTTCTGATTGGCCAACTTCCCCAAGCACATAAGAGGGGTGGGGCTTAGCTGGACCACGCTAAATCAAGGCCTGTTATGCAAGACTAGCCCTCACTGATTACTGTACAGGAACGCAACTTTATTCTCAGGTTTTACTGAAACTGGATCAGATTTGGAAAATATTGAGTAGTTCTACCTTCGATGTTCTCCGGCTGCTCTGCTTCCACTTAACACATACTTAAGATCCAGTATACTTGAAACAAACTAGTTTGCACCTGTCATCCACTACCTTTAAAGCCTTCCTGTTCTCTCTCCAAATAACTCTGTCTTTTGTCTCGGTCTCTCCTGGCAGGCCTTCCTTGTGTTGCACTTGGTTATACATACAAAAAGTGATTAAAATAATGGGTAAAAAAAGAACAAAGGAGAGCTTGAGAGCCTTCTTTCTCACCTCAGTTCACCTATAGCAAATCACTGCATGAAGTGGGCGCCATTGTCTGTTCTGGAAAGTTACAAAAAAATTTTGATGGTCATCAATGTTTCCCCAAGGAAATAGATTGGTGGAAGTTAGCCAACACAGACATGCACACACACATACACAAGAGGCACAGGAGTGCAGACATTGAGAGTTATTTGGAAAGATGCGCTTAGTGCCCATATTGGTTTTTTTATTCCCATATTTCATACAGAATTTGACATGGATCTGTGTTTCTGTATCAATGTCACTGAATCTCTTAATCTTTGCACCCCCACTTTCTTTTCTCTGATTAATAATTACTGTTAAATGAATGGACGATGTTGTCAGTCAATCAATCAATCAATCAATTACATGCTGAGCTGAATCAGACAGATCCTGTAGTTATTCAATGATGATTTATACTATCCCCTCAATCATTAAATAAATGTCTCTTGCTGTGTGATGTAGCACCACAGCTCATTTTTCCTGACTCTTATTAAGCCTAATATTATGTTTCAGGCGAGGCAGAGCGCCTTTTCTATAAAACGCTGCAACTCCTGTCAACAACTTTGTTTGAAGCATACCCTTAAAGAGGTGGTATTATGGTTTCTGGCTTTTTCCCTCTCCTTTATTGAGTTATATATCTTTTTTGTGCATGTACTAGGTTTGCAAAGTGAAAAAGCCCAAGGTCCACCCCAAAGGGAGTTCCCATCTCCCACAGAAAACTCTGCTCTGAATGCCTGAAAACAGCTCGTTTGTAGTCCAGCATTTACTTCCCTTTTTTTGTGACGTCACAATGAAAATACGTGTCATTTTTTACCGGCCTTTCGCTGACCTGCCCTTCTCTGCTTCTGATTGGCTAGTAGTACTTAACTAGGAACTGCGCATGTGCAACTCCCAACAAAGATCCTTTAGAGACTAGATGTATCACTCCGTAGCTAAAACGAAGCCTTCGATACAGGGTGAAAAGAGGAGCTGCAGCAATGTGCAGTATGACAAAATATGGTGTTTTTTGAAAATTAAACCATGTAAACCTGTTCTGGTACAACATCTAAATAGGATTTTGAACCTGAAAATTAGCATAATACCACCTCTTTAACTCCACTTGACCTTTGACAACTTAACCTTAAAAATAAAGTTAAACCAAATCCTAATTTAAAACCTAATCCAAAACCTGCGTAAAACGACTAACCTAACTGCTTAAAGAGGTGACCTGCTGGCAAAAAAGCCTCAATTTAGAAAATCACAATCAAATTTGGTGATTTGCAGGTCAAAATATGTGTGGATGTCAAGGAACTGTTAACTGAGCTAAATGTGGGTGAATGTTCTTTGTTTTCTTTGTTTTCTTTTTTTAGTTTTTTTTTTTTTAGATCTCTTCGTTACGTATAACCATTTCAAGAGCATTTAATTCATATATTTCAGTGTGAAGTAGCTCCAAACTACACCTTAAACTATAGTAATTTAAAGGCTTTGAAAGGGTTTGATGTCTGTCTATAAAACTGTTGGTTTTCACCTTCCTGCAAACAATCAAATCATTGCTTAAAGGAGAATATTTCATCTCTCTGTAATATAGACATGCTACCAATAACCTACATTTTTGTTTCAATATCTCTGGAGGAATTCCCTTTTGAGACACACCCTCATACCAGCTGTTCCATCAGCAGTCAACAGTAATAGAAAAGGCTGTTCTAATCATTATTTAGAGGCTCCAAATAAAGCTAACCTCCCCAGAAAGGCTGTGGGAAGAAGAGGGAGTGGGTCTCTGACTGGGGAATACTGGAATTCTTGGGCAGGACACTGTGGGAAGAGGACATGGTGGGAGGGATCTGGAGCTGGAGAAATCACTGCCTTCCTTTCCATGGAGGGAAAACTCCTACAGAATGAGACTCCTGCGCCTTCTGCACTGAGTCCACTGCTTGGGTCTTTTGTCTTATGTGCTGGCATCACACACAGACAAATTGACTGAGTTCCTCCATGTTTGTAATTACTGTTTGCTGAGAAACGACATATTCCCCTGCGCAGTGTCATTAGGATTAGCACTCTGCAGGGTGTTGCTTTCCATTTTCCTGTAGCAAAAAACTCAGTATCCCATCTGTCACAAACCATTCTGTGCAGCTAAACAAAGCCTGGCTGCAGTAACAGCACCTAAATGGATTAATCCCCTCGAGCCAGCATTATCTGCTGCACCTATTTGCAGGGGGAACACACGTGTGTTCACAACAAGATGCAAAAGAAAAATACACATCCCAACACTGCTGAAAGTCATGCTTTGAATTTACAGCTTTGAAGTAACAAATGTGGCTCACAGCCTAATTGGCTCAATTAGAGTTCCAGCTATGAACTACAAGTCGGGTGTAAAGTCAAAAGGAGAGTAAAATCAAACAAAAGGGCTCAGAATTCACTATGGAGAATCCTGAGTCATGTATTTCAGTCATGTAACTTTAATGTTAAAAGAAACCTTTGTGTGAAAGAACTGCTACAGAAATAAATCAGCATCCCATTCATTAAAATGTTCAGTCTAGAGTGCAAGGAGGTTCGAAAGCGTGGGCAACTGGCCTTGGTTAAAGATTCTTCAACTCATCCAAGAGGCTTCTTCAGTTCTGACTAACTGGCAGGGAGTCCCAGGTATTTTACCTTTTTGGGGTTATCAAGGTGATGGATACCCCTTGGTGCGTTGTACTCCTGGCTGTTGTAATGACAGTTGTTATGGTTGTTAGGGTCACCTTGAGGTCAAGACTGAAGGACCGTCGTTGGCATTGTCACAAGAGGCCAAATGTGAACGTTCAATCTTCAGGGAAGGGATAAAAGGGCAGAATTGTAAGTGGTTTTGAAGACCTCTTCCCCAGTTGAGAGATGGTTTCTCCCTATGTCCCTATAGGACAGATAGTTGAAAGAGGATGAGATTTAAAACGTCTTCAAGAATCTTCAAGTTGTTAGAGTCCACTTGTCCTTGATTTTAACTTTCCTTGCAAATCTATGCCCGGAATGGCTGAGCATCTTGTAAGACATAGTTCAGTCTATAATATTACTATAATAATACCAGCTGTGATGCTTTCACCAAAAAAATCTGATGTGCAGTACAGTAGGCTATGCTGTTAACCTGCAACTTTGTCTCCACGTTTAATCATCTAAACAAATGTTTGCTCTCTTGCCACTGTGTGTGAAATGAATGTGGTTTTTTCTCATCCAGCGTAGCAACTCTGTTTTGAATATTTAACTGAAAGCGCTGATTTGTGTGTATGTGTTCCCCTCTTGTAGATGTTTTTTTTTTTATTGCAGTTTGCATTCCCCTGTTATTTCACATAGTTGGTGATTCATATGACATCAGCAAAAAGCGAGAAGCTTAAATGTGCTGCGGATGAAAACTTTTGGTAATTTTCACCCAAAGAAGATACATAAATCTTTCCAGGTTTTGATCTTTTGCCCCTGCTCTCTGTGCTGCCTGCAGGTGTGCTGAGCCTGCCAGAGAGTTTGAACCTGCACCGGGACCAGCAACGCTCGGGGAGAGGCAGTGAGTGTCAGGGATACACCCAGGCCGAGCTCCGCACGCTGGAACAGTCACTGCTTGCAACCCGGGTGGGCAGCATCGCAGAACTGAGTGAGTTTTACAACAGTTTACAAAACACAATATGAGTTTTAGAGAATTTTACCGAAGTTGGAAAGAAACCAAACTAACACAAAAGGTATAATTTATCACTCCTTAGGCAAACATTGAGGGGAAAAAAGGGATGTTTGCAGGTGTCCTCATTTTAGCATTTTTATTTTAGTGAATAAAGCGTGGTGTACTGGAAAGTGGAGTGTTTGCTGGCCACAAGCATCATCATACAAAACAACTATTAGATAAGATTTGTGGAGTAGAAAAACATTTAGGAATGCTAATGCTAATAATTGCTCCCTCTGACATTTAATGTATGCAAACAAAGCATATTACCATTTGGGAGTCACAAATGATGAGATTTACTTAATAGTGAGGCATATTTTTTAGCTCCACATTGAATATTAAAACTTTTTTGTATTGTAGTTTATAGTAACTGTAGTTACACTCATACTTTGCATATAAGGAGATGTGCATTTTATTTTAATTTAAACTATTCAATATCTAGCGGCACAGTAAATTGTTCCCTGGAAACAGGTTTTGACTGACATGCTTTTTTAGTAATGATCAAATATCAACCACTATCATTTAATGTAGCCTAAAACCTGAGATAAAACCTTCCTCCATCCATACAAGGAGCTGCCAACATAACAACTAGCATAGCAGAACTCTATTAAAAATTTTGTCTGTCTTCCCTGCTGAAGAATCTATAAGTGATTGTGAGTCCTATTAAACTTTCAACACCATTAAAAGTAGTAAGATTTAAAGGTATGAAATACTGACCTAAAATATTAGCAACTTCAGGCTATAGTTATTAGCTCTGAGACACTAATGTGTGATGAACACCAGTAAGTATAAAACCTCTTGGTTTAGCGTAAAGTATATTATAAATGTAGTAGTAATTGTTATGCACATTAAAACTGAGCTGCTGGAGGACTTATTTCCATAACTATTTGCCAAAAAGCCCCATTAATGTGAAGGAAATGCACACTCCCTATCCCTGTAGGCTGTCATGGTGGTCTTAGTTCAACCCACTGCTTTTCTACTGTCCCCTCACCCCTCTTCTCATCCATCTCACCTCCTCCCTCACCAATATGACACACTGCAGCCAGGAACTGTTCTATTACAGCTGTTCTAACACCTGTTTATGAGTCCCACCCGGGGACCTTTAAATCCAAGGTCACCGCCACATGGGCTTTTAACCTCAGCTTGAAAGGAAGGGCCTAACTCCACCCTCGTCCTCTCCACAGTCACATGTTAGATCATTCTGTTCCCCACAAATATCTGCTTTATCTGTGGCTGCATGTTTGTGTCTGTGCACATTTTTATGTGGATGAATGTTTGTAGCTCTTTACAAACCAGCCATTCACTATGGATGATTGATTAAAGTAAGAATTTGTAGTCTTTTCATGTAAAAATCTTTCTTTGTCACAGTAGTGATTCAGCATCCTGTCTTTACCATCTCACAGTTTCAAGGTATAAACCAGAAAAACCTTGTCTGTCTGTTCGTTGGGTTTATATCAAAGTTTGGCTGTACAGCGTGAGTCTGCAATGACTGAACTAAACAAGGCTAGGTTTTGTTTAAGTATTATTTTAATGACTTTCAGCTTTATGAGATTTAGATTGTGAAAGCATCTTGTCACATTAGCTCTACAGACTTCTGTTGTCCAAACTAATGATTCTGAGATAGCTGTAATTGACAGGTTTCTGTTTTTTTTACATATGAATTGAAAAGCGCCAGCTCAGTCATGCATCATCCACATCCACAATCAATATCTGTTTTTGTCTCACCAAACAGTACATTGTGTGGTTTTCAGTAAAAAGGCAGATAGAAAACAAAATGGAACTCATTTTCTAAATTAGTGAAACAGCAAATCCACTTTTCTTCTTCCAGAGTGACAAACCCTCCAGTTTCAGCAGTAATTTGTAAGATATGTGATTTCTGCTGGGTACATAAGAATCTTTGCTTTCCAGTCCATATATCACCAGCCAATGCTCTTAGTAACTTACTTATCCTGAACAAACAAATGTTGAGCTTTTAGCTCTACCTGCTAATTTACCAAGAACCTCAAAAGTTTTTATGAAATTCCTTCATTCGTCATTATTGATATTTATACTAATCTACATAGTTCAGCTTACTTGATTAAATTTTAAACCGGTAAACACAAGGAGTAGAATAGGAATTTCTAAAATGAATTATTTTAGTTTTTAAGTTGACAGTCATTACACATCTCCATTTTTACAGCAGATTCAGAAAGCATTTGTTTTTCTTCAGATGGTGATAGTAAAACAATGTCATCTGCAAACAAAAGAATACGTATAATTTCCCTTCCACACATTATCCCACAATTTGAAGCTTTAATTTCTTTGGTCAAATCAGTTAGAGAAATTGCAAACAATGTGAGGGACAAAGCATGACCTTGTTTAGGTTGAGAACCAGTTTGTGTAATACTCATTTAATCTTAAACACACTATGGGATCACTGCACAGGTTGACAAATAACTGTTAAAGTTAAAATAAAAAACTGATATTGTGAAACTGATTTCAACCATATTGCTCAGGCTTATTTTATTATTTATTTATTATTTATTATATGTATATGATATTTTTAATGGTGACGAAAGGTAGCATCAGCCTCTTTATATGGTAAAGGATACATATTTGGATGTGGCTGGTACTATGCGGCAAAAATAAGTAAGCATCTCTGTTTGGCAGATGCAGTGGTAACCACAGTTTATAAGCGTCATTAGCATCCAAAGCCTGACATTCTGTTCACGTACTTGGATCAGGCAGCAGAAAAACCAGCACTGGCTGTTTGATTCCTGTTCAATGTGCCGTGTGTTTGATTCCCTCAGCCGTGGTCCCTCAGCTGGGCTTCCTGCTGCCAGATGTTGACATGTGGCTTGTAATACAGTTGATGCCAACTGCTTGCAGTCATTTAGAGGATTTCAGTGGATTCTGTGGCATGATTTCCTCCTCATGTTGTGTTATGTGAACAGATTGATCTAGTGTACGAATCACTGAATAACACTAGTGTGAATCTACTTATCAAATGTATGATGATGGTATTGATGGTGCTACTTTTAGCATGTTCTGCCATCTGGTTTTGCTAGCAACTTAAAGAAACAGATTTGCTGGAACTTTTGCATTTCATTTCATACCCTTTTTTTCCCTCCTACAACTTAGTTTGTTTTATCAAAAGCAGGTGCAAAACACTGAAAGAGCAGTTTGCCTGTCATCAAAAGTCCATCTTGTGTGTAATCAGCCTCTCCAATTTATGCATGGATTTAAAGGATTAAGTCTGGTGAAAGTCTATATTTTCAAAAGACCAAAACTAACTAACTGTTCTTGACATTAAGAAAAATATTGAGTAACCCCAGCCACGTACTTTAAGAGAAGGGTCCTCAAAAACGGGAGCAGATATGTGTTATTGTGTGCATTTTCCTGGATTTGGAATAGTGTATTTTTGTAAGGTACGTTGGCTGAGCATACATGCTCTTTCACAGCAACACCCGGTTAACAGTTACAGTGAAATATTAGAAATAAAACAACAAGATCAAGTCATTTATAGAACAGAACAACAGATTTAAGTTTTGCTTCATTTTTAGGTGATTTTGTGATTATTTTTACTGCTGCTGTAACAGTAGTCTTTTTCTGAAACATCTGAAACTAGCCACTGGAGAGGGTGATGCATTCTGTTTTATGTAGAAATGTGTCCTCCCCTTAGTACAAATAGTGGAAAAACACCATGGGGGTCTGAAAAAAAATATAATGAACATGTGTTTTCAAAATAAATTTCAATGGCTCCCAACAAAGTCTGAGTATGCCACAAAAAGCACCACAGGAGAGCCATGCTGAATTATTTTAACACATTGTCCTGACCATTTTCTGGCACCAAAGTGATCTGCTAATGCACTGTGGTGATTTCACTCTTAAAAAGACATGTGCGCATTAGGCTGTAACTACCTTAGGGTTTTATGGGGACAGGTACATTCTCCACCAGTTTTCCTTGTCTGTGCAAATAATTTCTTTTCAACTTCATCACATGCTCAATTTGCACCTCTAAAAACATTTTTCCACCAAAAAGTTGCCAAAATTTGTTGCTTCATCTGTCACAAAATTTTGAAGAAGACTTGAAACTAGCAAGTGAAACCATAAAGTCAGGAAAGTGTTTACTGAGGGAATAAATCAAGTGAGACCTCAGTCATTTTGGCATGGACTCCAATGCAATCGGACTTCTTTTTGCAACCAGTGGAGTTGCCCCGGTGGTGCAGTGGTTAGCACTATTGCCTCACAGCAAGAAGGTTGTGTGTTCAATCCTCGGTTGCCCTGGCCTTTCTGTGTGGAGTTCCGTGTTCGCGTGGGTTCTCTCCGGGTGCTCTGGCTTCCTCCCACCATCCAAATGCTAGGTTAATTGGTGTCTCCAAAATTGTCCTTAGGCGTGAGTGTGAGCGGTTGTCTGTCTATGTGTGGCCCTGCGATAGACTGGTGACCTGTCCAGGGTGTACCCTGCCTTTTGCCCAATGTAAGCTGGGATTTGCTCCAGCCCTACGCGACCCTGTACACAGGATAAGTGGTTGACAGTGGATGGATGGAGTTGCCCCCTGCTGGCTAAAGAATGCATGTTTAAGGTACTTCCTCATTGAATGCCACAGGCGCTAAATGCACATACACTGATCACGTCACGGTGGCTACGTCCACTTCTTTTAGACAGTCTATGTATATAATGCAGAGAAGAGGCTGATAGTGTCATCTCAGCGGTAGCCTGGTTGATTTATGGTAATTACACTAATGTTCATAACAAGAAATAACATGATAATGATAGGTTAATATATAAATGCCACACACAACCTCTAATATCACAGCAGAGACCTGGAACTAATCGGTGACAGGAAGCAGGTGTTTCATGGTCAAACGCTGTGTCCCCACATCAAGCATTTCAAATCTGCTTGGTATCAACACATTTTAATTGTTTAAATTGAAATCAGTTTTAAGCTGTTCTC